CGGATTTATGCATAAATTTGCATATTTAATGAGATATCGCGAGTTAAAGTTTTTGATTTTCGACCACCCCTAAACTACCTCAAATTTGATGTCAATGTAAACAAAATGTTTATAGCCTTARACTASASCCGTGCGAGATTACATCYACGAAGTGACAAGTGTGTACATSAATTGGTTGCCTAGCAACAAACTCCCAAACTCGAGAGCGCTGAAAAAGGGTTTTTCTTGATTATCTCATCAGGATTTGGTCGAAKCAAAAAATAAAGGYCATATVCTCGACGCGCCTTGACGCGCTGAATCCAAAAATGGTCTTACATTTGAAATTGGATGAAATCCAGGGGGGGAAATTAAARGTTGAAATTTTCGATTTTTGAAATTCAATTTTTTATGTTTTTATGGAGTACACTAGTTTGTTATTAACATGATCATGTAGCAGACGCATGCGARAACAGGTTCTGTTAGTATSAGCTTGTGACACTAAGTATTCGTTGAGTTATATGCTTTCAAAGTCGGTACTGAAGAAGGTCACTTAGAAAGTTTTCAGTGTTTTGACGTCATTTTTTCGATTTTTAAAAAGTCATAACTWTTTAAGGATGTAATGGATTTCCTTCAAACCTTCACAGATGTGTTGACAATCATCTAGAGCATACGGGCCACCAACATACTTGGGGTCTGTGACGTCATCTTGACGTAGTAAATTGAGCGCAAAAATGGGTKCGAAAAAGAAAAAATCGATATTGACGATATTTTTTGATATTTAAAAAATTATTTCTCTTTCAGAATTGAATGGATTACCTTCAAACGTTCAGCGTTGTGTTAACTGTTGTCTGGTGTATACTACCTTAGCATACTGGGGGTCTGTGACGTCATCTTGCTGTACCAAATGGAGCTCAAACATGGCTGACAAGAATCAAAAGTTGATATTTGGACAAGAGATTTCTCCTCGTGGTTTTTGTGAAATGTAACCATTGTTGCGGTGTTATCTACAGTGCCTCCCAAGGTATCCGGTCCACCAACATTGTTTGGGTATCAGACTCAATCTTCATGGAGAAAAGACACAAAAAACATTGTTGATTTTGCAAGAATGTCACAGACAGTAGATATTATGGGATATCATGTGTTGCACACTGTTACAAAGCCAATGCGTGCGTCTTTCAGAAACTGCAATTAAA